AATCAGAAAATAAAAATGTAAAAAATATCTCTGAAAGCTGCAATTCTACTTTAACATAAACACTTAGAAAAATAGTATACTGAATGATCTAACTGCCTGCAAGAATATGAAATATCATGAAGCAATGGCTATAATTTTCTACTGAAAATAATGTCTGATTCACTTAGTTCTTTTCATTAGTAACAGGATACACAGATAAGTAGAAAGTGATAGCATTGTGCCAGGCAGAGAGCAGATGTTCCAAGTGAATATATATATATATTTATTCAGGTGTGTGTATGTGTGTGTAGAAAGAAAGAGAGACTGAATCAGTTACCACAGGCTCTCTCCTGCTTTCAGTGAATAATTTTATTCTTTTTGGTACTGGGGATCAAACTTGGGACCTTGCGCTTACAAGGCAGGTGGCAGAACCACTGAGCTAAATCCCCAGTGTAATTTTATTCTATGTTACACTATGTTCTCAATGAAACCAATAAAGTATGGTCTTGCTAATGTTCATGCTATTCAATATACTTAAGATGACCTACTTAATGGGCAGAAGGGATCATATGCTCAGATAGGCAGATAATGCTAAACTAGGATGGTTATTAATATTCCAGAAAGATATAAAATTACAAATTTTATATGCTTGGGATGTAGCTCAGAGGTAGAGCACTTGCCTAGCATATGTGAAGCCCTGGACTTGATCCTTATTATAAAAACAAAAGAGAGGGCCGGGGATTTAGCTCAGTGGTTTCGCTGCCTGCTGCACAAGTGCAAGGACCCGAGTTCGAACCCTGGTACCAAAAAAAAAATACCAAAAAAAAATAAAAGAGAGAAAAAAAAAATTTTTTTTTAATTTAAGATGTTTAATGCAGAAAGAGATGGTTCAACTTGATAAAGATCATTAAATATTCAACATACAATTGTTGTGTGACTATTGTGCACACAAGGCAGGGCAAACGCTATATGGTGAGACCCTAGGAAACAAAGACATAATTATAGTATGTGGCGCTAAGTATTACCACAGAGGCTCACTAATCATTATGGGAATCTGCATGAGGAAGAATTTAATTTGGCCCAGGTAAGTCTTTGTTTGTTTTTTGTTTCATTGGGTTATTTTCATTTTGGGTAAGTCTTCAGAGAAGGGATCATACTGTTTATCAAGGTGCCTGCTATAAAACAAATGTTCCATAAATACTAGTTATTGTTAGTCTGGCTGATGCACAAAGTAAAAAAAAAAAATGGAGAAGAGCTGAGGGTAAAAGATTAATTTGTTAATCATTATCTGACAAGATGATGAAGTCTCTCAGAATTCATGTTAAAGTGTCAGGGCTTTATCATAAAGTGATCACATATTTAAGCAGTTGATAACCACTAAGGGAGGAACTAATACACAGTAGTGAGAAAGGGTGTAGAATGCAGAGAGACAAGTGGTAGGAAGAGATGAGCAATTTGGTTTCAGTACTGGTAAATCTAAGGTCTCCAACATACTCAGTGGAAGGTGTCTTCATAGCATGGGTCTGGCCACTGGAACCAAACAAAAGGGTGAGGACTGATAGAGAAGGTTGAAGAACCAAGACAGGTGCTGCAGAAATCAGAGGCGGCGCGTTTCAATGAGTGGGTAGGGTAATCAGTCATGCTGAATACACAGAAAGATACTAAGTATCTTTTGAAAAGGGATAACTAGTCTTAGAAATTAAGAAGTCAATGATGATCGTGGAAAAGGCATGTTTGGTAAAACGAGGGGGCGGGGTGCAGTCAAATTAGACTACAGAAAGGCAAGAAGGTAAAGAAAATGCTGAGTACTCAGAGCTTGGAGTTTGTACTTTTTCTTTTGAGATGGAGTCTTGTTATGCTGCCCAGGCTAGCCTCAAACTCTTGAGCTCAAGTGATCCTCCTGCCTCAGTCTCCTAAGTACCTGGGACTATAGGTACATGCCATCATGCTCAGCACATAGTATTTTTTTATAGGTATAAGATCATGAACATTCCAAACAAAAGAAAAGGTCCATATTACACTGAGTCAGATAATACTGGTGGATAAAAGAACATCTTTTAACAACTCAAAGCTAAAACACTAAAATGGGTTAAAAGGAGCAGATGGAATATTTACTAGTTCTTCAACAGAATTAAGAGAACCAATTAAGAGCAGGCCTAGAAAAGCCTAGACACTCACCTCCCTTGAAGCAGAGAGGTCTGAAGACACGTTTTTCAAGGTCCCTTTTAGTTCTGCAATCCCCTGTTGCTGCAGTACAGCATTGTTCCTTTTTTCCTTTTTGTGGTGCTGGGGATGGAACCCAGGGCCTTGCACATATTAGGCCAGTGCTCTACGACTGAGCCACACCTCCAGCCTGAGCTACTCAGAAAAACTGAACACATTAGGTTCATGTTTCTTGAACACTCACCTTTTGGTTAGCTCTTTGACTTTGTCCTGATTTCTCTGGTGCTGAACTTCTATTTCCTCAATGCGAATGCGCCTATCCTCCATGAGCCCTTCGACTTGTTCTCTGGAGAGCCTGGTCTGCTCTTCCAGCTGCGCCTGCAGTGCTTCCACCTAGACAGGCCAACAGGTGAGACCCCACCCTGCTTCCACTCGCTTCGTCTCCCTAGAAGTGAGTGCTTCTCCAGACACACAGCAAAGCCAAGCCACCACCAAAACCAAAAACACAGCAGCAAAACAAACACTAGGAAAATCCTGGCTCTAATCCTCTTATATAATGTCCTTTTAAAAAATGTTTCTTTTTCTTTTTTTTTTTTGTTTTTTTGAGACAGGGTCTACTTATGAAGTTCAGGCTGGCGGTGAACTCACTATGTAGCCCAGGCTGGCTTCAAACTCACAGTGAGATCCCCTGCCTTAGCCTCTTCAGTGCTGGAATTACAGGCATGTGCCACCACACCTGGCTTAATGTCCTATAAATGGGGTTGGGCATCGTAAGAGCAGATTCTTTGTCCACACTAAACTCCCATCTATATCACACAGAGAAAGCTACAAAATCTGATTTCTCCGACCCTGTTTCTTGCCTTTAGGACTATCAGGACTTTTAAGATGTACTAGTCAGACAGAAACAGAATGACTCAGGTTAGAGGAAAAGGAACGTGATCTGACTATCGTGACTCCACATGGAGACAACTGGCCAAAGGTAGGAACTGTCATAAATCAACGGCCCCCACTCGATGAAGACAGTGCAACTAGGGCAACCAGATGAAAACTCATGGTTCCAAATGATATACAAATAGCAGGTGGTAAGATAATGACGTATTAATTTCCTGGACTTTAGAACTCAGGCACTAAATAATCATCAACACAGACAAGCTTCCCTCTGCACCTCTCTGAGTGCCTTAGGCTAAGCATAAAGTGAATTCTTTAGGATTTTTTTGTTGGGTAGGGCTTTCCATATAAACTGAAGCTTCAAAGAAGTCCTCCTAAAATGCTCAAATAGAGAAAAAAGGTTTTTAAATACAAGGACTTAGAAATTAGGAACAACCTCAATTTCTTAAGCACATGATGCCTAAATGCATCCTATGTGCAAGGAAATATTTATGTGACAAGGGTATGTTACATAAAGCTAAATGTGAGGATAAAAACTGTCCCAGTCTGCCAACATGAATATGTTACTTGTAGGACGAGTGCTTGTGTGTCTCTTTGGTAATGCTCAGAACCACCTTCCTTCTCTCTCAATGATGGTCTTTTTTGGCTTACTTTAGGACCTAAAATAGGAAACAAAAATTCATTATGAAGATTTTACTTAGCTCTTTCTTCTACCCAAGTTCCAAGTATGAGCATTATCTTTGCAAAGGAGTTCAGTTTCCTTTACCTACAAAAGCAGGAAAGGAATAAAAAGGAAAACATGTAATAACTATAGGATGAATTCTGAGCAATCAATATAAGGGAATTCTGTAGGATTTAACCTGGATAATCATATTCATCTTTCAGCAGAATCAACTACTGAATGTTCCTTTGTTTTTTGTTTTGTTTTGTTTTGGGTTTTTTTTTTTTTGGTACCAGGGATTGAACTCGGGTCCTTGTGCTTGCCCAGCAGGCGGCAAAACCACTGAGCTAAATCCCCGCCCCTTGTTTTGCCTTTTGAGACAGGGTCTCCTTATGTAGTTCAGGCTGGCCTTGAACTCACTGTGTAATCAGGCTGGCATCGAACTCACAGTGATGCTCCTGCCTCAGCCTCCTGAGTGTTCCCATGCCCAGCCTGAATGTTTCTTTGGATTGTACCTATTTTCTAGTAAAATTGTGTTTAATCAGAACCAGAAATCAGCCTTATCCATTCTTTAAATCAAATTTAAGTATGCTAGTAATGACATATCACACAATTTTCAAAAGTGAAGGTTAAAGTCTGACGTGGTGGTGCACACCTGTAGTCCCAGCACTCAGGAGGCCAAGGCAGGATTGCCAAGAATTTGAGGCCAGCCTGGGCTACATAGTGTGTTCAAGGCCAGCCTGGACTACATAGCAAGACCCTGTCTCAAAAAGTGAAGAAAAAAAAAGTAAAGGTAATTTTTTTTTCTTGAGGTAGGGTCTCACCATGTAGTTCAGGCTGGCTTTGAATTCACTATTTGTAGCCCAGACTGACCTTGAACTCATGGCAATCCTAACACTTCAGCCACCCGAGTGCTGGGATTAGAGGTGCACCCAACCATGTCTGGCTAAAAGTAAAGGTAATTTTTTTTTTTGGTGCTGGGGATCGAACTTGGGACCTTGCACTTGCGAGGCAGGCGGCAGAACCACTGAGCTAAATCCCCGGCCCAGTAAAGGTAATTTTCAAAAATGCACAAGACTGAACCCTGCACTGAGGTTTCCAAAGCCTGGTGAGGATGTGGGGAAGGATGTGGGAGGAGGGAAAGAGGGTAGTTAGTGAGTACAGGAGTATGGTTGAAAAAGAATAACTTCTAATGTGCTATAGTATATAGCTCAGTGGGATACTTAATGTTGACAATAATTAGTTGTATATTTAAAAATAACTAGAAGGATTTTTACAAAGAAATGGTGAATGTTTGAGGTGGTGGATATGGCAATCACCTTGATCCGATCAATATACAAAGTATACATCTATTGAAATGCCATACTATATCCCATAAATAAGTATAATTATTATGTCAATTAAAAATGCATTAAAACAAAATAAACAAAAAAGGAAAGGAAAAGAGAAACGGTAAGCTGAAGAAATTTTAATTTCTTGAATGGTTTAAGAAGCTCAGAAAGATTTTTGACTTCCAGAGTCAACACAACAATTGCTAATTATCATTGTATAGTGGAATGAAATTTCAAATAATTTGTGTTGTGATTTTCTGTTTGGCATCAATGAGAATTTCTAATAATATGGTTGTTACCTGCTTTGGAAGCAGAAGACTCATTTGGTTCACACGCATCTACAGCCTGGGTACTGTTCTGGAGAATGCTGACCTGAAGAAGCAAAAAGGGACGGAAGTAGCCTTTCCTGTAAGTATGAAATTTTACTCTTTAGCCTTAGTTCTGCAGATCCAATACTATTTATAAATTAAATTAGTCAAAATTGATTTAATCATATCTAGATGTTACACATACAATAGGTAACATGAGCAAAGAATTTTTAGATAAAATCCAGTTAATTATACAAACTGAAAAAATAAAATCATAGGGCTATTTAGCAAAACATGCTTAAAATGTACTCTTGGAACCACTTTTAGGAAAGTAATAGAAGTACAGAAATATGCAGATGTAGATATGAATAAAAATGCTATTAAGCCAGGTGTGGTGGTACATGACTATGATCCCAGCACTCTGAGACACTAAGGCAGGAGGATCACAAATTCAAGCTCAGCCTAGGTAACTTAGCAAGACCCTGTCTCCAAAAAAAGACTGTTAAGGCCCTGGGTATAATCTCCAATCCTCAAAAGAAAAAATCTATAGAGAAATTAAATTATCTCTAAAGGGGAAAAAATGGAAACAGTACTTACATGAAGGCACACAAATATTTCTATATGAATAGAAAAAGAGCTACAGTGCATGTGCTGAACTATTAACAATGTCTACGTCTAGGATAAAGAATTAGAAGAAACTGCCTCTTTTATATGATAGATTTCCGTACTCTATGTTTTTGTTGTTGTTTTAGCTTTGTTTTGTTTTGGTTTTGGTTTTTGAGACAGGATCTTGCTATGTTGCCCAGACTGGAGTCAAACTCCTGGTCTCAAATGACCCTCCAAACTCAGCCTTCCGAGGAGCTGGGACTGCAGGTGTGTATCACCACACTAGGTTCTGTGTGTTTAATTTTGTTTTTTGAAACAGGGTATCACTATGTAGCCCAGGCTGGCCTTGAACTCACAGTGATTCTCCTGCCTCAGCCTCTCAAGTGCTGGGATTATGCCCAGCTGTGTGTTTGTTTTAAACAAAGACTGCATATTATATTTGTAATTTACACAATAGATTTAAAAAGAAACTTAAATACTGAAACTTTCTCTCTATAGTCTACTCCTGCTTTCCTTTCTAATTTCAGCTAAAACATCTGTTCTTCTAGGCTTTAGATTTTTCATTTTTGCTTTATTGTGGTGCTGGGTTTAGAACCCAGGACTTCGTGCATGCTTAGGCACGGGCTCTACCACTTAGCTATACCGCCCACCCATGGGCTTCAGGTTTTGAAATGGTGAAATGTTGTAAACAACGCTATTTCCTAAAAGTTTTAAAGAAAGAAGCTTTGAAACGGCGTGGTGGCACAAACCTGTAATCCCAGCATGTGGGAGGCTGAGGCAGGAGGATCACAGCGTGTTTAAGGCCAGCCTGGCTACATAATGAGTTCAAGACCAACCTGAACTAAATAGGGAAACGCTATCTCCAAAAAAAGGGAAGATATTTTGAAAACAGGGAAATATGGGGCTGTGACAGCTCACTACTCTTCACGTGACTTCCTGAACAAGTACCAAAGTTCTTTTCACTGTGGACCCTCACCTCTATTTTATAAAGGCCATACTCACCATGAAAATGAAACTTACTTTATGGGGAGCTTTATGAAAACTCACTTACTTTATGGGGAGGCTCCTTATAAAAATAGGTTACTTCTCTGGTGTCTGTTCCCACAAGAGCCAGGAGATTCTGAATCTTTTTCTTGTCTTCTAGTTCCCTGCAATTTTCACAGAAAGTAAGTACACAACATATGCTCCAAGTGAGTAACCTTTTCTGCTTCAAGAACCTCTCTTCTGTCTTGTTGTTATAGCACAGTAACCTCAAATTAAAATTGAACAGGATTTACCTACATTTTGGCACTAGTGTTTCAGACATTGGGTACTTCCATTCCAATTCAGAGAGGGGCTAGAAGTAATTTCTCAGCTGTTTCTAGAGGGCAGCCATAGTGGCTGTGTAGGAACCCTGCCCGGCCCCTCTTCAGCACTGATGGGCTCATTCCCTGCCAGGAATGCTGCCTATTGCTGGCTAATGACCGAATCTCTGTTCCAGATGGCTCTTGGTCAGAGAAGCTGCTTTACCTGCTGATGCCTCCCATTCCTCAGGGATAGCTTGCCACCAGTCCTTGGTCAAGAATAGGTACAAAAATCCAATCTCCTTGACTAAACTCAGATGGCTCTGAAGAGCCATCCCAGCTTCTGAGCTCACTGTGATGCTGGCTGAGCCCCAGTGTAACTGAGTCTGTCGAAGTTCTCTACCTGCCCAACCAAGCCTTCCTAACCCCTTTGTTTGTGATAATTCCTCAGAAAGCTCCCAAACAACCTTCCTGCAAGCAAACCTCCACTGTGCAGTTTGTTTCCCAGAGAACCCAACCTAAGACAGGACTGGACCAAGGGAGATTGCAAAGCTGAAGAGGGACTGCAGAGCTACAGATATGGAGCTAGTTATAAAACACAGTGTTCCTAGGAGCAAGGTAGGCATGCCAGGGTATAGCTTAAACCATCAAAATAATCAAAAGTGCATAAGAAGCTAAGGGCTGTGACCCCTAAGAAATGAGACGCTCTGGCTCATTTTCCATATATTAATTGAAGAAGAGGCTGGATCTCCCTGAAGATAAGACCCTGTGGCTCCACAGGCAAGTATCCATGGCAACAATTTCCCATTTCTCATCACAGGGCCCACACAAGTAATTACACAGGGAAAACAGAATACCCAGGGTTTTCAAGGACTGCTGGATAGAGGGTCTAAGGTGTCTAAGGTCTAGGTGACACTGATACCTGAAGCATCGTTATGGCCCAGGACATATGGAGAACATGCAATAAATGGAATTTTGGCCCAGATCCAGCTCACAGTGCATCTGTGGATCCACAGATCCAGTCACTGATCATTTTCCCAGTTCCCAAATGTGTAATTAGAATGCACATATTTAGTAGTTGGCAGAACTCCAAAATAGTTTCTTGAGGTAAGTCAAGCAGAAGCTTCTGAAAGTACTAATCCCTTCTCAGTCAAGATGGTAAACAAAACTCCAAAAGATGTAGGGGGCTAGAGCCTTACAAAATTCTCATTTCATTCACCAGTATGACTTGGACAAAAGCAGATGGATTCTGGAGGATAACAACAGACTTCAATCAAGTAATTCCCCTGTGCCAGAAGTAATATCTTTGCTAGAGCGGATTAAATTGGTGTCAGGTATAAGGAATGTGGCCACTGATTTGGCTTTTTTCTTGTTTTTTTTTTGCCTTTTTAAAACAGGGTCTCACTTTATAGTTCAGGCTGGCCCCAAACTCATGGCAATCCTCCTCCCTCAGCCTCCTGAAGGCTGGGATTCCAGGCATGCATCACCATTCCTGGCTGGCAAATGCATTCTTTTCTATCTTTCCACAGGCCAAAAACAGTTCCCATTCAGGTGAAGTGGGCAAGAGTATACTTTTATAGTCCTTCCTAAGGCTATGTTAACTCTTTTGCTCTATCAATACAGCATAAAAGGACCTTAATCTGGTCATTCCCAACATCAGATGAATTCACTATTGGTGATATCATATTAAGTTAGATTTCATGAACAAGAAATAGCAAATGTATTGGAACCTTTGGTAAGATACATGTGCTCTGAGGGTTGATGATAAACCTTTCAAAGCACATGAGTGAAGTTTCCAGGGGTTTTATCTAGGCATGCCAGGACATTCCCTCCAAATTATTACAAAGAGACAAATTATTACATCTTGTCCCTACTACCACTAATGAGAAAGCATAATGCCTGGAAAGTCCTGGAGACAACATATTTCACACTTGGGAACGCTGTTCTGACTCATACATCAAGTGACATGAGAAGTGAGTTTTCCATGTGGCTCAGAATTGAAAAGAGGCTCTGCACATATTAGGTCAAAGTTGTACAAGCAGCTCTGCTCCTCAGGCTGTAGGACCTGACCAATTTTATGGTACCTGTGGTTGGGATAAGGTGTCATGTGGGTTTTAAAGCAGAACCCATTGCAAGAACCATAACATAGATCCTGAGATTAGGGAGCAAGACCATGCCATCTAGAGCTGAGAATCATGTAACATTTGAAAAATAGCTTCTAGCATGCTACTGGATCCTGCTAGAGATAGACTGCTTGATGTTAGAATACCAAGAAAGCATGTGGCTAATTCTTTTCAACAAATGATGCAGTGAAACTGGATCTCCACATGCAAAAGTATAAAGTTGGACCCTTACTTATTGTCATATGCAAGAATTTACTCAAAATGGATTAAACATCTAAATGTAGGAGCCAAAAACTATAAAATATATAGAAGAACAGAGAGAAAAAGCCTCTTGATGTAGGATTTGGGGGAAAAAATAGAGAAATTGAACTACAATAAAATTTAAAACTTCTGTGTATTAAAGGACACTATTAACAAAGTGAGCTGGGCATGTAGGTGCACACCTATAATCCCAGCACTCTGGGAAGTTCAGGAAGAAGGATGCCAAGTTCTAGCCAACCTGAACAATTTGGTGAGATCCTGTTTCAAAAAAAAGAAAACAACAACAGCCAAAAAAAAGGAAAACAAAAAACTACTGGGGCTAGGTGTGGTAGCACACACCTTAATCCCAGCACTTGGGAGGCTGAGGCTAAGAGTTCAAGGCCAGCCTGAGCAACATAGTGAGTTCAAGGACAGTCTGAACTACATAGTGAGATCCTGTTTCAAAAAAGAAAGAAAGAAAGAAAAAGAAAAAGGACCAGGGACACAGGTTAGTGTGAAGGCCCTACGTTCAATCCTCAGGACCAAAAAAAATAAAGAAGTGAAAAGGAAATCTGGAATGGGAGAAAATATTTGCAAATTATATATCTGATAAGGGGTCAATACCCAGATATGTAAAGACCACCTATAATTCAACAATGACAGCAAAAATAACCCAATTAAAAATGGTCAAGGGACTTGAATTGACAGTTCTCCAAAGGCAGGTAGCCAATGAACATGTGAAAAGCTGCTCCATGTTATTCATCATTAAGGAAATACAAATTGAAAGAACAATGAATACCCCCTCACATCCATTAAAATAGCTACTATCAAAAAAATCAATGTTGGCAAGAATACGGAGAAACTGGAATCCAAGTGTAATATTGGGAGAAATGCAAAATGTGAAGCCACTATAAAAAACAGTATGACAGTTCCTTTAAAAATTAAAAATAAAATTACCATATGATCCAGTAATTCCACTTCAAGACAGACATCCAAAAGCACTGAAAGCAGAGTCTTGTGGAGATATCTGTATAACCGTGTTCATAGCAGCATTATTTACAGTAGCCAAAAGGAAGAAGCAACTCATGTGCTCCTTGAGAGGTAAATCAAACAAAACATTGGACATGCAAAGAAAAACCACTCAGACTTAAATAGAAAAGAAATCCTGACACATGCTATAACATGGATGAACCCTGAAGACATGCTAAGTAAAATAAACCAGACACAAAACGTCAAATACTACATGATTCTACTTATAACAGGTGTCTTTAAGTTCAAACAGAGTCAGAAAGTGGAATGGAAGAACATGGGGAATTATTGTATAATAAGCACTAATTTGTGTAGAAATCTGAAAAAATTCTTTGTGTGGATGGGGTGGCAGGTGCACACCAGTATTTAATGTCACTGAACTACACTTAGATGGTTAAAAGGGAAAGTTCCATGTTGTGTATACTTTTCTCTCACACAGAGAAATGCACTGTAGCAGATGCTGTAGCACACTGCTCAGATGCACCCTTTAGCATCAAGACACTCATCTCCCAGGCAATGAATCCCTTTTCAAGAATTGCATGTGGCTGAAGGCAGCTTACTGTTCCAAGCTGATACTCTCTCTCCGAAGGCATTCTGTATCCAATGACTAACAATGTGGGGATTCAAAAGTCTGAATCCTTTGCCTCTGGAAGGTCATCCCAATTTAGAGCTCCCTATGGAGTTGGCTCAAGCCTCTTACCACTGTATCACAGTTTAAACCTTCCCATAGGTGCTATAAGCTCAAAAATCTTTTCAGAGATGTTATTCCTGAGAGCCTCCCCTATAAATGCCTTCAGGTAATCTTCATCTCAGAGGCTGTTTATTGGGGTACATAAGCTCAGAGAACAACTGGAGATAAATTTATCACTTTAAATGCAATTTAGAGTTATAACTCCAACATTTCACTTCTCCTACTTGATACCTGATTCTCAGACGGTCATTTTCTGAATAGAGGCGTAAAACATGTTCCCGTTCCTGGAAAAGGCAGACTTGCATATCACTTAGAGCTTTCTGCAATTCAGCAATCTCTTCCTCCCTCTGCTGCAAATTCCATTCAACTTTATTCTGGAGGGGGAAAAAAAAAACCAGTTAAAAAGATACCTAGTTTCAATGAATATCTCTTATTTGATTCTTATTTGATATGGAAGAATCAGGTCATGCAGAAATATTCCAAAGTGGTAGATCCACAGAATTCAAGTAACAGCAATGGTCTGTGTACAGATGTTAAGTTTAAAAGGTTCATGATGAGCCAGGTGTAGTGGTAGATATCTATAATCCCAGCACTCTGAGAGGCTGAGGCAGCAGGATCACAAGTTAAACAAAAACATGGATTGGGGACATAGCTTACTGTGAAGGCCTTGAGTTTAATTACCAATACCACAATAAATAAATAAAATAAAAAGTACAAGATTAAAACATTAAAGGAAAGCCCCCAGCACTGAGGAGCAGCCTTCCAGGCCTCCATACCATCGCCCCCAGCGCTGAGGAACAGAGCTGCCCCCAGTGCTGAGGAGGTGGCTGCGCTGGTGCCAGCAGCACCCCCCCCACACCTTGAAATGAGAAGACACATAAACAAGTCTCAAAACCAGACTCCCAGATCACCTAAAGCAACCCCAAAGGGAAATGAGATGGAACAATCTGATACTCAACCACCTGGACTCCCTGAACTGGCAACAAATGAGGATCTGGAAAAAAGGAAATCAGAAATAATTTCTCAGATATCAGCAGAGATTGTGTCCATAGAGCAAGACATGATTAACAAATCTAGAGAGGACTCAGATTAAAAAAAAATAGAGGAGCTGAGGAACATGATGGAATCCCAACATACGAAACAAATGGAATCCATAAAACAGATGCAAACAGATTTCCAGGAGATTAAAAACTCCACTGAAAGTTTACAAAGCACAATGAGCCAATGTGAAGATAGAATTTCAGATATAGAAGATAAAATTGCTAGTGACCAGGAAAAGAAAAATTTCTTTAAAATAGTAAGGGACCATGAGAAATCAATCTAGCAGCTGCTAGATGATGCGAAGAATAACATAAGACTGATTGGAGTCAATGAAGAAACAGAAGAGAGTGCAGATGACACAAAAAAATTGTTCACATAAGTGATGGCAGAAAACTTCCCAAGCAGGGGAAAAGAATCTGACATACAGATAAGTGAGGCATATAGGACTCCAACTAGCCGTGATAAAAAAAAAATCTACACATAGGCATAAAATAGTTAACATTCCAGAAACCCAACAGAACAAAATTCTACAAGCAGTTAGAGAAAAGAAACAAATCACATACAAAGAAAGCCATCAGAATCACAGCAGACTTCTCAACACAAACACTCAAGGCAAGAATATCTTGGAGTGACATATTTCAAGTCCTAAAGGAAAACAGCCTCCAACCCAGATTGATGTACCCTGCAAAACTATCTTTCAAAATTGACGGAGAAATAAGATACTTTCATGACAAAGAGCACCTTAGGAACTTCATGAATACCAAAGAAGCACTCCAAAAATTTTTATCCTAGGAAAAGACAATGAGGATCACAACCCCTGGAAGCCCAGCAGAATGAATCCTTTAGGCATGACAAGAAATTAAACGTAAAGGGGGAGAATCCAACAAAAAGAAAAAGTCATGACAATGATAAGTCAATACGTATCAGTTATAACCATCAATGTTAATGGTCTCAATTCACCAATCAAAAGTAATAGACTGGCAGAATGGGTCAAGAAGTAAGACCCAACAATATGCTGCATACAAGAAAGACACTTAATTCAAAAAGAAACTCAAAGACTGAAAGTCAAAGGGTTGAAAACAATACTTTATGCGACAGGAACCCGAAAAAAAGCAGAAGCAGCTATCCTCTTTGCAGATCAAGTGGATTTCAAACCAACACTGATTAAGAGAGACAAAGAAGG